AGTCCCCAACCCGAGTTGTTCAGCATTCAGCAGAAAGCAAGTTCAGATCTTTACGGATGTTCTGTGGGGAAATCAGAGCCAATTTGTGCCAGGGGATGCAGAGCAGTGAATAGAACGAGAGACTATGCAGTGGTGCACACCCACCCACCAGTCACAAGCACTTAACATGCTCAAAGTTCAATAAAGTTTTCACTGTTTCCCCAACAAATGTTGCAAAACATAATGCCCCAAAAAATGTTGCAAAACACTTTATCAGAACATAGCATAACACCACCTCAGGGAGTCATCCGAATTTGGTGAAGGTGGTGAGCCGGAAAAAAGGGACTCAAGCTCTCCGTCCCATATTAGATCTTCATGCTCTGAACAAATACCTAAGGAAGTACAAGTTCAGAATGCTCACCCATTCTATACTTCTGAAATTGGTGCGCCCAGGCGATTGGTTTACCTCAATCGACCTGAAGGATGCATATTTTCACATAAGAATATATCCACCCCACAGGAAATTTCTGAGGTTTGCATTCCTTGGTGTGGCATATGAATATCTAGTCCTTCCCTTTGGCCTGTCCCTCAGCCAGAGGGTATTCGTGAAATGCACAGAAGCGACCCTAAATCCGCCCAGGGAGAAAGGCATTCGTTTCGCTACCTACATAGACAATCGGAGCACAAAGCGAGAGATCACACAGCCATGCTCCTAGAACATCTATAGAAACTGGGATTAAAATTAAACACCGAAAAGAGTGTTTTAGTTCCCAGACAGTCAATAACGTATCTGGGGTTGTTACTGGACTCAGTGATATTTAGAGCGCGACTGTCAGTGGAGAGGGTAATAACATTTATGCAATGCCTGGCCGAATTTCGGAAAGGGAACAGTGTTTCTCTTAGCACATGCCTCAGACTATTAGGTCTGATGGCCTCAGCTCTAATAGTCATTCCCCTAGGCAGACTATTTATGAGAGAGTTTCAATGCTGGGTAGCCTCTTTGAGACTGGACCCATTACAGCACTCCCAGAGGAGAGTAAGAGTGACGTCAGTGGCTGTCTTAGCACTGTGTCACTGGCAACGCCCGTGCTTTCTGGTGCAAGGGGTACCTATGGGCGTTGTCCAGGCCAGGAAGGTCATAACGACGGACGCGTCGTTGTCCGGCTGGGGGGGCATTCACGAGGGCAGGGCAGGGAATGGGAGATGGGGTCCCCACCTGAGCCACTGTCACATAAACTACTTGGAAATGCTAGCTGTCTTTCTGACATTGAAGCATTTTCTTCCTTTTCTGAAAGGACATCGTGTTCTTGTGAGAACTGACAACACTACAGTTGTGGCTTACATAAACAGGCAGGGAGGTCTCAGATCACTCCCCTTACACATGTTGGCATGCAAACTGATTTTGTGGAGCAATGCCAGTCTTTTATCCCTGAGGGCGACGCACGTACAAGGGATCATGAACTGGTGTGCAGATCTGCTGTCCAGGGAAAGCCCCTTTATGGAGAGTGGAAGCTGAACATGGAAGTGGTCGGCCAAATTTGGAGCATATACGGTAGAGCGACAGTGGATCTGTTCACGTAGCAGGACAATGCTCAATGCCCTCTGTTCTTCTCTCTGAAAGATCAGAGCGCGCCTCTGGGAATAGATGCACTGGTGCACGAGTGGCCTCGCACTCTCCTGTATGCGTTCCCACCGATAGCGTTGATATCCCCAGCTCTTCACAGAGTGAGGAGACCAGACAGTGTCATCAGAACTATACAGAATTTTAGGGCCCTGTCCACTCGATCACTCTATGAATGTAAATGGGGCGTGTTTGAGCATTGGTGCGCGGCTAGACAAGTAATTACCTTTCAGTGTTCGGTGGCAGTTGTTCGATCTTTTCTGTAGGATCTGATAGATCAGGGTAAAGCATTCTCAACCATAAAGGTGTTTCTGGCCACGATATCTGCCTGTCATGTAGGTTTTGATAACAAATCTGTTGGGAAGCATCATTTGGTATGCCGGTTTATGAAGGGCGCGCGTCGTGCTTTACCAGTCTCAAAACCGATTTCTCATTCATGGGATATAATTCTGGTTCTTGATGTGCTTTCTGTGACTCCATTTGAGCCACTGGACAAGGCTGACCTGAAATTATTGTCGTTTAAGACGGTGCTGCTGTTAGCTTTGGCTTCAGCAAAGCGTGTAAGTGAAATTCATGCACTCTCGGTGCATTCATTGTGTATGCAATTTATAGCAGGGGACGCAGGGGACGCAGGGGTGCTTTTGAAACCTACTCCTGCCTTTATACCTAAGGTGATCAATTCTATTATTCCTCTCGAGTTAAGAGCCTTTAACCCACCGCCTTTTGCTTCAGCAGAACAGCAAAGGCTGAATACGTTATGTGCGTGCTTTTAAGTATTTACACGGAGAGAACTAAAGGGTTCAGAGAGAGTGATCAGCTGTTTGTGTCTTGGGCGAAACCGCGTACGGGAAAGCCGATTACTAAACAGTGTTTATCCCACTGGATAGTGGAGGAAATTTCTCTTGCATATTCCAGTAAGGGTCTTACGCCTCCGTCTGGTTTACGTGCTCACTCAATGAAAGGAATGTCGACGTCATGGGCTCTCTTTAAAGGGGTCACGTTACAAGATGTCTGTGAAGCGACGAGTTGGTCATGGGCTCTCTTTAAAGGGGTCACGTTACAAGATGTCTGTGAAGCGACGAGTTGGTCCTCACCGCACACATTTGCAAGGTTCTATAAACTGGATGTTACAGCTCAAACATTTGCACATGCAGTATTGAGCGTTGGATCTTGAGTGTTGACTTAACCAGCCCTATAATAGTTTCTTTGGTTGGCAGGAGACTTCGAGACAAAACGGGAGTTAGGATATCCCATAGTGAGACACCCGAAACGTATGCTTGAAAGAGAACAATAGGTTACTTGCATAACCCCGGTTCTCTGATAGCATTAAGTGAGAACGTCGTGACATTGGGGCTGGCGTAATGGAATTGGGCTTCTTAGGAATACGCAGAAGGGGCGTATCCCGTAGTGAAACACCTCACTTAATGCTTTCAGAGAACCGGGGTTACACAAGTAACCTATTGGTTTGTCTGCGTTTGCTCTGAAGTGCTGCAATTACCTGATTTGCATCAGGAGAGCTGAATTACAGTCTTGCGCTACAGCGCCACACTGGTGAAACCGCGTTATTGCAGGCTCTTACATTAGGTCATATGAGATCAAACGATTACTCGAAAACAAAAATTTGTAAATTTTTTATTGTTGTCGATAATATCGACTAATCGTGTCAGCTCTAGCCGGAGAGCCTGCTTTAAAATGACAGAAGGGCTGGTCTCACTATATTTTGGACCCCTGAGGAGCATGGTCGACAGAATGCTATCTGGCTTCTGCATAATTTACATTTAATGTAAATTGAGTGCATTTTAAATGTAACTAATATCTAAAAAAATTTTTTTACAGGTTTGGTCTGCAAAACTTAGCACCACAGTGCATATTTTATTGTACGTTTGATTTTCTTATAGTTATAGTACACCTTTCCTCAATGATATGTGTATAATAATATTCTATAGAAGTTAATGTATGAAGGTTTTTTCCTCCTCAGTGGAGGTTTGGACCTGGTTGTAAGTCTTTTATGGGAATTCTCTAAGTTAGATCAGTTAGAAAAGATGGTATTCTGAGTCAGAACAGCCTGAACGTCTATACCAAGTTCTAGGATGAGATTTTGTTAGAAAATAGAAGGCCCTCCTTCTCCATCCCCTCCACGTCAAGTGCAGATCCTCCCTGCACGGGCATTTTACTAGTAAAAGGATCGTCCTTCCAGGTGATGGAAACCTCTTCCAGAAGCTCTGGAAAGAAGCTTAAAGGGGACTTTTACATGGTGATTTGCCTATAAATGTGTCTTAGCAGTGTGAGAACACAACCACCCTACAATGATAAAAATCCATTCACTACTTTTGTATAATCCCCAAAAAACCTGAACAGTCTCAATAATCAAATTGTTTTGTTTTTCTTAGCGGTATGATGTCATATTGCTCAATCCCCGCCCACGACCGCTGACAGACTGTCCTGTATTAGCATATCTCCGCCCTCAGCCTGTTGTACACTGTCCCCCATTTTCTCCGCTCTCGAGCAGCTGCAGCGACAGCAATGACTCATAAGCAATGCAGGTGTTTTGTAGTTGGATGTAAAAGTGAACATAAGAGTCTTAATTTTCTCCCGGCATCAGAACCACTGAGGACGCAGTGCATTAGTTTTGTTTTTGATGGTAACGCACCACCAAATACACCAAAAGCGGAAGAGAGGGGCAGGGTGAGCAGTGGCTCCTTATCATTTAAAGAGACATGCACCAAAACGGCTCGCTGTGAACAGAGCTGTTTTTGACAAAGTAAAAAGGGTTTTGTTTTACACGACCACTGAGGAATTTTAACCAAAGTATGTTGCAGACAGTTCATGAAGACCCTAAAGAATCACACCAACTTGTGGAAAATGGGCATCCGATATCCCCTTTAAATAGTAGATCAGTGTGTTGGCTTGGCAAAGTAATTACTGTATATTAATAATTGTACAAATAATTATATTTTAAATAATAACGTGTTCAGATATGCAGTCTACAGTCTACACAGTTACGTGCAACCTGTGCATCTTTGTATTTTAATTTGTCTAAATTCTTTTCAACTTTAATCCACCAAAACAAAAGTTGGATTTTCTGAGCAAATCACACTATAAAAACCCAGATCGTCACCGTCAACCCTCTGTGTTCTCCTGTAGCTGAGACGTGCTCCAGTGTGTCAGGGTCTCCGGTCAAGAGCTCGGATCTGGGTAACAGCTCAGTGGGATCCAGCACAGCCACGCTGAGCCCCGTGTCAGAACCACTGGAGCCGGTCCAGACTCAGCAACCCTGCTCGCTCAAGGGCTCTCTGTCCTCTGACAACATCTACGGCCCCACCACACACACAGCACCCCGACAAGGTGAACACACTCACACGGCTGTTGTCTACAATAGCCTGTCAAGCATATGCTGCTGTACATATTTGCTGTAAATGCATCTGCCACTGCCCTTACCAGCCACAGTTAAACAAATGTCTTAACGTCCACTGTCCTCGTTGAAAGCAAAAAGCATCACTTTAGTGTTTGGAGCTGCCCTAATCAACACACATAGAAACCAAACCATATGATTTATTGCTTGATACGCATGCCGCCTGGCTCGGATGCAGTGTTCTCATGTTCTAGACCAGGGGTTTTCAACCTTTTAGGACATGCACCCCCCCCAACATCCAACCCCAACATTCCCCCCCAGTATTACTGTAGTCACTCCGAATTACTTTATTAACATTAACATAAAAGCAAATATCCATTAAAGCTATTAAAGCAGCAAACTATTTTTCTTTTGCTCTTTTTGATTAACATTATTTACATAAGAAATGCACGGATCCGTTATACTGATGTGCATTTTATATTTTCTTTACTGTTTACATTCACTTAAATCAACCGACTGGCCTGATCGTTAAGATAGTTTTTGGGGGCTAAGGTGACAGATAGGGGGGCTGAAACCCACCTAAAAATGGTTTAGAACCGCCCCTGGTATAGTGTGCGTAATTATACTGAAACATAAATATATAACCATTTTACCTGATTCAATGTGATGGCTGAGCCTGTTTCTGAGATAACAACATGCCAATCCGTGGTTGGATTTCTGACACGGCTAATCATAAATCATTTTACACTGTCAATAAGCGTGACCAGGGTTGCCAAGTTTTTACAACAAAACCCGCCTAATTGCTACTCAAAACTAGCCCAAAACTACAAAACGCGGCAAGTGTTAAAGTAGCCCAATTCCGCGGGAAAACCGCGGACTTGGCAACACTGAGCGTGACTGATACTCGAGCCAACTCTGCTCTAACTGTCGACTAGCAGTGGGAGTCAGATTGCCCCCTAGTGGATGGCTAAAGATTTGTTAACTCATATTCATAAATTCTCAAGGGAACGTCTCTGAATTAACTGATGCTCGCGCCCCCCTTGACAGGCGTGCCCCAGAGGTTGAAAACCCCTGTTCTAGATTATCATGTCTTTCTCCTGTCTTTTTTTGTCACATTTCTCACTCACATGCATGGGATTATTGCCAACTTTCACAGTCTCTCATGTGCGCTCCACTCATTTACTTAGTTTAAATGGAGTCGGGCATAATGTGACATTTAATGCTGCCTAATGGCTCAGTCACATGACATGATTTCATGTACAGCTAAGAAAGTTAAAAGGATTGCATGATGCTCATACTATGTCTGAAACATCATTCTTTTGGATCAGTAGACATTTTCACACGTTCAGTTATTGCCATAAATATCTCTATCTAGAGGTCATGTGTGAGCAGAAAAGCAATTGATCTTCTGTATTTCAAGGAGTTGGGTCATTGCCACAAAAGTTTTGTATTTATGTCATGTGTAAACAAATCTGTAATATGAATGCTTTGTGCCAGAAATGTGGCACAAACGGCACATACTCTGTTGCAGTGGTGCTTATGCAGCAACCTAAGTTTGAATCTGGCTCATGTCATTTCATGATTTCATTTCCAGTCCCCTCTATGCAAAAGCCCCAAAAATAATAAAGTTACTGAAGAAAACCCCTGGTGATTTATGTAAGAAACTACATGTTACAGACCCCCACATGACCGCTTCAGTTGTTCAGAAGGAAATGGCTCAAAAGTAGGCATAGCGGCATCATCCCCATTTATGTACCGCATGAGATGATAGCTCTTTCAGACTCGGCAAACCTTCATAAACTGGGGACCTTTGTTGACTACTGACAAGGCTTTTGCATAATTCTTGTGTTGACAGAATCCACCCCAAAGGTACCACCAGAGTCAACAACCGGGGATGTTTCCGAGTTAACAGGGTCCAATAGCATTTGCGTGTAACCCCTTTAGTGCAGTGAGGATGCCAACCAGGACAAACTCCTCAGCTGTTGACCCACCACTGAAACAGCCTCATGTGGGATAGTCCCAGTGCTACCATAGGTGACGCCACGGACAGGAGACCCAGAAGTCTGCAAAACAGACTTGCAGGAATACAGGAATAAACGAATGGACATGAGCAATAGACAGTCTCATTTGCACATTGTGTATGAATTCAGATCTACCCCCAGAAAAGCAGTCTGTTTCCCCGACAACAAAACGCTCTTCTGAAGGTTTATTTTTTTTAGATCCAGCTTCTGTATGTGATCGAGAACAGCCTTGTCAAAATCAGCCAATCGTCAAGGTAATTCAAAGCATGTTTGCCCTGGAGTTGCTTTCCTGTGTTTCAGTGCATCTGTGTCAACATTCTGAAACTGCACTTTCTGATTGTAAAGTTCAGTAGATGCAGGTCTAGGATTGGAATCAAACCACTGTTGGACAGCACTTGGAAAAACTGCTATAGAAACTAGATTCCCTCTGCGATGGACACACTTCATCTATGGCTCCCGCAAAAAAAATCTGAACCACCAGGACACACATTGTAAACGTGTGACTCGAGGCGAGAGTCCTGTGCTCTGAAGGCGTTGTTGCACAGAATATGAGTGAGGAGCTGTTGATCTGCTGTTCGCCAAGATGGAAAACGCAGAGAAACTGGCAGAACAGAATCTCAAGGGCAGTGAGGAGAAAAGCAATTAGGCTTTAATGGATTGACGCAGGAGGAGCCCTTTGGCACAGTAGGTCAAGGAAGCACAAATTGGCTGTTGAGCAAGGCCACTGACCCCAGTCCTTTTTAGGGGGAGTCCAGACTACCTGGCTGCTTCTCGGCTCCTCTTGAGGAAACTGCAGAGAGCTGGAACAGTATCATCTCACAGGCGCCACAGGCTCTTGAACCCGCGGGGAATCGTTTGCTGAAAAGCAGTAGATTGTTTGTTTGCAGTGGGAAACTTAACGACAACAGCATTCACTGTGTCTACGAAATGCCTCAACTAAGCAACAGGAGCACCCAACCGATTTCTGTTTCTCATGGATATCTGTGAGGTTGAACCACAGTTGTCTCTCGGTCGCCTCTCATAGAACGACGGATTGTGCGAGCCAAATGCTTATTGACTTAATGTGCCAATTCAGTTGTTCAACTGAGCTCTTTGACTGTCTTGGGAGTCAAGCAAGAAATTTCATCCATATCTTTAAGGTCATCAGCTTGGTACGCCTGCAGTACCACCATTGTATGCAATGCCGCTCCCACTTGACCGGCAGCCATATTATTGTTCAGGGCTGGTGTAGTCCTGCAGGGCTTAGACAACAAAGTAGGCCACTTAGAAAACCACTTCAAAGATGGGGCTGAAGATGGTTAGAGATACAAGAAATAAGCATCTCTTCAAACGTAGGCATTTCAACATACCCCTGCTTCATCATGTTAGAGATAGCTTTGAGGTTGTGTGTTTGTGATCCTGCAAGGCCGACGCACACTATGGCATTTGTTGAACAACTTCTGGCTGGGCTGCATCCTGCCTGCTTTAATTCATCCGTGACACACGTCGCCATTTCCCAAAGCTAAGAAAAAAGACACTGGCCAGGCTTCCTGACCACATTTTTTCCTGGCAACGTCAATCGGTCCGCTGCCAAACACCCCACGAAGTGGCAGTAGGAAAAGCATCATCCTAACCGAAATAGATTTTATCGTAAGCTTCTGGGCTTGGGCACAGTTCTTCAAATGTAAACTCCACTGGAGAAAAACACAGCACAAAATAGGCCAGCCAAATTCAATATGGGCTTCAGACACACTTGGAATGTCAGTTACTGATGCATCGTAACATGCTGACCCCAAAACTTTACTAGGGACTGAGCAGTGAAGTGACAGGAAAAAAAGGTAATATATCTATTGTAGTAAAATTAAATATTTGCATCAGAAGACATTAGGGCTGGGCGGTATGACAATATATATCATTACCGCGGAATAAAGTGTCTATCATTAGGCGGGATGCAAATATGTCTGCGTAACACAGTACTGCTTAAAAGTTATATACACCTTGGAGTGACGAGGAAACATGCATGAATGAGAAAATAAAGAGTGGGATGCACTTGATAGAGTTAACAAGTGCAATGTGGTGCTCGCACTGACTGACACACAAAGCACACACTCAGAAAGTGTCTCTCTCAGACAGCATGCGATCGCGAATTTGGTACTTGCATGATGTTTAATAAAGTTATTAAGTGCAATAAGCAGTGAAAAAGAACTCAATCCGCTGCTCACGCTGACTGACACGCAGCCGAAGCGCACGCACTGAAAGCCTCTCTCAGACAGCATGCGGTCGCGAAAACAGATCTCTTTCGTGCTTGAACGGTCAAATACACACACAATTATGTCAAAATGCCCGTCGTGTGCAGTATTCACATAAACACAGTCGGTTATGTATTAAATAAACGTAAACAGCTGGGTGAAAACCGGATGTGTTTCAGTATATTGGATCCATTCAGTCTGTCTTAAAGTGACAGCAGTCTAATTTACCTGCTGCTGTCTGTCATTATTAATGTTAATCACTCACTGCACTTGACTGAATCACTTTTGGATCTTTAATAAGAATCAGTTCATGTTTGATTGATACAGGGAAGACTTTGCAGTGTTTTATTGACACACTTCATTCAATTTCTGTAAAATTTCTTACTACATCTTAAATAATTAGCTGCTTTTTCTTATGTTTAATAACAAAAAATATATATATCGTAAAATATATATATCATTATCGTGACATAAAATGTCTCATACCTTGAAATAAGATTTTGGTCATATCGCCCACCCCTAGAAGACATAGTAGCATAATGGTGTAGTTACAAGTAAAACCAGCTAATCTTCTTGGAGTGAATGGTTAATACTGTATGGCAATTTTACATTTCTTTGCCCGTATATGGATTTCATGTGTGAAAATGTCTAGTGATGCATAAGAGGACTGTTATATAGACTGCAGAAAAGCATTCCCATTGTTAGAAACAACACTTCCACATCTACATTAACTGCTGTTTTCTGAGACACTTAACCAGTGTTGTGGCGTGTTGCTGATATGATGCTTGTTGATGGGGTACTGATCTGACCGCTGCCTGTGTCGGCTGTTACACCTGTCTCTCTCTCTCTCTCTCTCTCTCTCTCTCTCTCTCTTTCTCTCTCTCTCCCTCTTATATTCATTTCTCCACAGGCTGGACCGTTTACCACCAAACATCTGAGCGAATCACCTATAAATCTAGTAGCAAACCACGCACTAGATTCCTCAGTGGACCCGTGTCTATGTCCATCTGTTTGTATTTGTTCTACTTTTCTTCTATTACCCATAATTCCCTTTTCCCTGTTTCTTTCTGCTCTTCTTTCGTGATTTTGCTTTGGTTATTCTATACTGCATTTCTGTCATGTTCACATCCATTACTCATGCACACACTCATTCAGTGATCATCAGGCATTTTCAGCCATTACATTTCCATCTTCATTTCAGATGGCACTTTCCATGAATACGGTACAAAATAGGGTCCGAAACATAAAAAGTGAAACAAGGTGCGTAATATTCATTAAAATAGTAATTGTCAACCTCATGAGGTCAAAGTACATGTGAACAGTCTACAGTTAAAATGCAGCTTAAAAAACATAATAAATATAAAATAAAATACATCAAATTAAATCATAGGTAGCAGGGTTGCAGACTTCCTAAATCCTAAATGAAGCTGTCACTCAGTAGGGTGCAAAACTGCTACTTTGGGAGCAAATTTCGGCTTGTAGTTTTTGATGAACTTATATTTACTTACCGTTTACCACCAAACATCTGAGCGAATCACCTATAAATCTAGTAGCAAACCACGCACTAGATTCCTCAGTGGACCCGTGTCTATGTCCATCTGTTTGTATTTGTTCTACTTTTCTTCTATTACCCATAATTCCCTTTGCCCTGTTTCTTTCTGCTCTTCTTTCGTGATTTTGCTTTGGTTATTCTATACTGCATTTCTGTCATGTTCACATCCATTACTCATGCACACACTCATTCAGTGATCATCAGGCATTTTCAGCCATTACATTTCCATCTTCATTTCAGATGGCACTTCCCATGAATACGGTACAAAATAGGGTCCGAAACATAAAAAGTGAAACGAGGTGCGTAATATTCATTAAAATAGTAATTGTCAACCTCATGAGGTCAAAGTACATGTGAACAGTCTACAGTTAAAATGCAGCTTAAAAAACATAATAAATATAAAATAAAATACATCAAATTAAATCATAGGTAGCAGGGTTGCAGACTTCCTAAATCCTAAATGAAGCTGTCACTCAGTAGGGTGCAAAACTGCTACTTTGGGAGCAAATTTCGGCTTGTAGTTTTTGATGAACTTATATTTACTTTAAATTGAAAGAAAATATTAGTTTGATCATTTATTCTTTCAAAGTTGAATGGTTAAGCTTGACAAATGCAGTCAAAACTACACAAGAAAATTGATTATTTACCTCGCTGTCCTCCATACTGTATGTAGAAAGATCTAAATGATTAGATAATAGTTTATCCTGTATATCCAGAAGCTCTCATAAAAACATTTTGAGATTTGTGCCACAGTGTATCGTGTTCGTGGAACGAGCTGGATGTCTGCTCATCTGGCCTTCAGTTTGTCTTCTGTACAAACGCTTTGTGCTGGGCTGTAGCTTTGACCGATAACATGAGCTGTCTTTCCTCAAACATGGCCATTCTCAACATTTCACTGAAAGCAGAGAGAGTGTGTAGGGATGTCTGCCAAAGCTTTTGTATCGTCTGTATATCTGTGCCTTCTTTCATTTTCATTCCACGTAAAATCCCAATGAGACGATGATTGAGGTGCGGTGTCATGTTTGGAGTCAGAAGACGAGCATGCCAAGGGCACGAGCAGGTTGCTGTGGAGAACATCAGGGCCGTATTTTTAATTTTGTTTTATCTCACTTCTTGTTCTCTGGCTGTCACCTGCATGATTATAATATGATGCGGTTCAAGAAGCGTATTATATTTACCTTGTGTTTCTGTTACAGCTTGTAGTATTTTGTTCATTTTGAGGGTTCATTTTGGACTTGAACATGACCAGTGTGTCATAACTATGATTAGGAAGCCCATTTCTTTTTATACTTGGTCTCCCTCCTTGTCAAAAGTATATGATTTGGTCATTATTCTAACCTTCATTGTTAGAATTCTCTCTTTTTTCCCCCCTTTGTAATTTAAAAAGTAGCATGCAGCACTTTTAATAGCATTCATGTTTCAATAGTAATGCTTCAATTTAGTTTTATTTATACTATTCCTGTGTTTAAATGTTAGATGTTATTTGTACAGTATGACATTTTTAAAGCCCAATGGAAATCCTGGTTACAATAGTCACTTGTAAATAACTGTGCTTACTGAGATGGATCTTTTTTTTTTAATACATCCAAGATGTTTGTTGTTGGTTTTAAATGGTGATGCTTCTAAAAGTGGAGGCTTAGGAGAAGATCAGTTTTAGTCTTACATGCTCAGTATTTTCACTCACTGCCACAGACACATACCAAAATATGATGACAAACGATTGTCAGCAATGATTCAGTTATGTAGTCCTGACTTTTACAGACCCCATGAAATCAGAGTTACAATGTTGTGGATTTTAGTCCATGTCTGTTAGCTCTGAGGTCATCTGCCCTGTATGGTTTATTGTCCAATAAACTGCTCGATACAATAAGAATGTCCCTTATTATAAATAATACTTGTCCCCCTTCTAATGTTACAACAGAAGCAACTGAACTGACAGCTGGCATTAGTGGTGATAACCATGAGCTTTACCCTCCAATCTTGCCTCGGATAGCAAAGGTAAAGATGGTGGTGAGAGGTCCTCCAGAGCTGAATGTGAAGAGTCTACATTGCTTTCATTCATAAGCAGTCAAGTGTGAATTCAGCTGTCTTCAGTTTGTCCCAAACTAACTCCCTGTTTCAATAGGAAATAAGCCAGGAAAGAATAAACGAACATTGTGCTCATCTAACCATTTCATGGGGTTTTTAAAGTAGGACATTTAGTCAAACAAGAGTGCTTAAGTTTCTTTAGAGTCCACGCTTGAAGGCCTTTTTAGCTCAGGAGCCATTCAAACAGGTCACTCACCAACACAACACCTCATGATATCACAGATGAAGCCTCCCTGCACCTGATTCTGTACCTGTTCACTGATTGGTCGCTGTGTTTTCTTGTGCAGCAGCTTGTCCAATGGGCTGTGCCGTGTGCTTTTCCCCACCCCCTAACGCTTCTGTCTGTGCTGTTTTGCTCTTGTAGGGTCCACTCTGAAACGGCTATGTCTAGGGAAAGAGCGCAGCAGTAGTAACTATCCCACTCCTTTCTTCTTCGGTCCTAGTCCCGCTGTCTTTTTTTTCTTTTTTTATTTGCCATTTTCATTTTTTTTTTTTTGGCATGAGCAATCACCTGTGTGATAAGTGCTTAACGTTTGCAGCCACAGATTGTGAAATGTTTGTCACCGTTTTGATTCTTTATATTAATTTAAATAATATTTTTTCTAGTGCATGGTGATATCTGTGCGATACAGTCAAGTGCTTACTGAAACCTTTATGATTTCTGTATTCCCAGTCATTTAAGTGCATATGTGTATGGGTGATTGTTATTTCTTTGGTTCTGTAATCATCCAGCTGCTTGATTTTAGGCTGGAAACAAGTACTCAACAAGAAGTGCACAAGTACACAAACACGGATACGATCAGATCCACCATCTCAGTTCAAGCGCACCTGATGTGGTTCTGGCTAAAACATGATTCACCCATTAAAAAAACATTAAGGGTGCAAATTTGTTTTATGAATTAACCATTTTATAAAAAATACAATACTACAGTGAGAATAAAAGTTACGCCTTCTTTCTTTGCGTGAACATTTGGGCGGCGTTATGCAAATCGTCCCACATAGTGAGGTAGACATGTGTGGGCGTGTTAGAACGAGCTGTTTTAGGTTGACTCTTAACTTTTATAAAGAATATCTCTTTGGATTTGAGACTTTAGTCTTTGCAACTTTACAGATCTTCTTTATGCACCAAGAGCTTGTAACACTCCAAAGAGAAAGGAAAAATTGAAATCGCATCATATGACCCCTTTAAAGCATTGTTAAAGCAAATGTTTACACACCTAATATTGCATCTATTCATTAGGGCTTGTTTTGTATTAACCGTGATTTTAACCACACTTCACTGTGTAAAGTGAAGAATGACATCAGCAGTCAGTGAGCAGCAGGTTGGTTACAGTTGACCTCAGGGGAATTCTCTGAGTTTTTGCTTGAGGTCTTTCTCAATCTCTTTCTCAGGGTCTCACAGTACTGGTGCTGCCCATGTGACTTCAGCAGCCAATCAGAACCTGCCTCCCGCAGCCATGCCTGCTTCATCCTCTCGGCCAATCACGGTGCTCGTTCAGGCTCAAGCAAACAACAGCAACAACAAAAGCGGTACCTTCACCGATGACCTACACAAGCTGGTTGATGATTGGGCAAAAGAAACTCTTGCCTCCGCCCCTCAGCTCCGCCCCTCTGTGTGTCAGAGTAGACCGCAGAGATCTCATCAGTCCTTCCAGACCAACCCCACTCCAATGGCCAGAGTCCCCAATCAGGTACTTTATGCTATTTTTCCTCTAGAACCTTAACAAATGACAGAAGATTTTGATTAAAAATGAAGGGAGTACATAAAATCTGGTTTACATCATTTGTTCTTGCACGTTTCCTCAAAATATTTGAATGCATGCTGTGTTATGTGGTCACCGTGAGAAGCTCCACCGATGTTTAACTCTTGCGCCTGCTTCCCGCGGTTTGGGTTCTGCTGCCATCAGAGCGGTTAGGTGCCATCGATCACGGGGATTGTAGGCGGAGCATGGAAGGAATCTGTCAGGAAGTGCTTTCCCTTTCAGAATTCCTCCTGTTGTTTCTGATTATTGCATACTGATAAATGTGAGCTAAGTAAACTAAGTAATGTGGAACATCTAATTCAAACGTATTAGATGCAGAGAGAGTTAGGGCCTATATTATGAATAAATCCGTCCCCTCTGCTGTTGTGCTAGGTGTGCCTCCTTGATAGCTATTCTTGAATAGGACATAATTAGGCATTCTCTCGCTTTAGAGAGTCGTCATGTTGAGGCCTCATTCCTTGGAGCTCGAATTAGGTAGTTTTGACATGCCCTGACATTCATGACATTTATGTGGTTAGCACCTGAGAGACAAAGGGCCCCTCTCCTAATGGCCCATCAGTGAAAATATTTTACTCCAAAAATATTTCACTCAATTTCATACATTTTAGTCTGGAATAGTTCAACTATTAAAATGTGTACAAGTTTATGTCACAATAACATGATAACTAATACAAGGATGAAAAATTACTTACTCAATGATCAATGATATCCTCCACTGGATCAAGCTGTGCATTGCATCGTTTTCTTCTTCACAAGGCTTAAACACAAGGCTTTTTCCTCACAGTTTGTCGTTTTCCAAAAAACGAAAAGTAGCTTAAATGAACATTATGAATCTTGCTGCTTTGTTTATGGAGGTGATGGGCTGTTTTCAGGTTTGAGCATGTCACGTGGATGATTACCGTATGAATAGCGTGTGCTACGCATGGGTGTGATCACTTTACAGATAATGAGATCAGACGGGAAACACTGTACCTCTCCTTGGTTTCATGCAGATTACTTTATCAGAGAATAGTTGTTTTCAATATGACTTAATTCGTTTAAAGGTAGACGCCTTAAGCTTTCTATAGGCATATTTCTCATGTCTGTGTGTCAAGTGCATTTTGGTTCTTTTCTTTTGACACATTTCAGAAAGAAGTTCACAGAGTCTGAGACTGCAGGAATTGCACCCTGTTTATTTTCTTTATTTTACAAAAGCACAATGTTTTGTTGTTATTGTGAGTGTATACAAATAAAAGTAGAACCTTTACAGATTCTAATGATGTATTACTCTCCTCAAAAAGGAACTGCTTTTCATTTGACATGCAACTTCATGTTTTAACCACAGATTGTGATAGAGGCCAAAGTTTTATGGTGCAGCTTTAAATCGGTCATCATAACCAGCAGTGTTGTCACAGTACCAGCATTTCAGTAATTGGTACCAATACACGTAAAATTCCACAGTTCTTGGTACCCATTTCAGTACCATAGCAGAAACTTTTATTTTAATGGTTATTTTGAATTTGACTCTTTGATAATAAAATATTTAATAAATAAAATGAGTTGTAATTATTAATGCTACGAATAAGTAAATACGTTAAAATACATTAAAACATTAGCATTGTAGCCTTCACACATACAGGAATGTTTGAAAGCTGCCAGCTATCACTGGGTACCGGATCTGATCTGCGGAAAGGCTGGTATAGTTACATTTTAATAAAAGTATCAACTTGGTACCAAACTTTTCTGCTACATTTGTGACAACACTAATAACCAGCTGTACACTGTTTTTGATGGCTTTGGGATTGTTGTGTCTGACTGATACGAGATGAGTGAGATCTCAAGGGTAAAGCCCAGGTGTGCATAATCAATGGCCTTTTAAATACGCCAGACTAAAGCGAGAGGGGTTCGCCCCACCGTTAGCATCATGTCCCTGCCCTTGGGAGTGCTGAGAGTAGAATACATGCTTAGTGTTATTAATTGTGTTCAGACACATTTGGTAACATGACATTGTGCTTGTGCTGCTAGAAGCCTTTGCCTTCACGTTTTTTCCTACCATGTCTGTCTCTTTTTTTCTTAGATAAGGGGATCAATCCCTCAGTCAGCTGTGAAGTTCCATCTACCACTGTCCTGTCCTCTGTCAGCAGCTCTGGGTCCCATCATGCCTCATGGCATCACCAGCACCCCATCACCCATCCTCCAGCAGGGCGGATACTTGATGCCCACCGTCCCCTTTGCTGGGATGATGCCAGCCCCTGTGTATCCAAACCAGTGGTCCGGTTTGCCCAGTCCAGTGTTTTCTACGGCCGGTATGGTCCCGTACCCAGCCATGGGCAGCCCAGCACTGCAGACTTTTCCTCTGGTGGTCAAAAGCCCAGACGCCCCGATGTGCCCCAGCAAAGCCAGGACTGCATAAGAGTGCCACCCTGCGCTCCAAACACAGCAACATACACTGGTTTTTGCGTGAAGCTAATCAATGCACACTTGCAGAAGGATAATCATGCAAACTCAACACAACTGATTACAAGTCAAGTCACCTTTATTTGTATAGCGCTTTATACAATACTGATTGTGTCAAAGCAGCTTTACAGAGACAAACAGGAAAATAGTTTGTCAATGAAGCAAGAAGACAATAACAGAGTCAATTTTCAGCTAAAGTCAGAATACAGACATGTACAGGACATTTTCTCCTTCGCAGTGGGAGCTCCTGCAACACTCTATAAAATGCTTTTCATTTGGCTTCAGGATCAAACCACAATCTCTGAAATGTCTGTGTGCTTTAGATCACTGTTGGACAATAGGCACATCTGTAGAAAGCCTTTGAGCCTGTAAATATGTGTGTATGTGTGAAATTGGGCATGAGGAGTGTGTTTGTGTCAAAACAGTCCTGTGGGCACTCCCGGGGATTTATTTTTAAGACTTGTATTGAGGTGTGTTAGTAAAGTGTTTGCCTGAGAGTACTGCAGGACCATGGCCTTCAATTCTACTGCCATGAAGTATAATTTTATAATAATTTCCCCCATAAATCAACATATTGTGAGTGACTAACCTGCGGAAGCATGGGCAGGCGGCTCTTAGAGCTATAGACATTTTATAAAACACGAGCAGAATAAATGTAGTCATTCTTACGGCAATGTAAGAATTGAAATTCATGCTACTTGTGTTTTATAAAAGAGGCCAATACTCAGTTTAAAATATTTTTAATAAATTTACAGCACTCCTGAGTGGCTTTCATTGGCTGTTTACAGAATTATCCCGCATTTTTAAACTTTCAGATTTCAGAACACTGTCAAAATCAAAATCCCTAGATGAAGATGAATAATTCAGGACGATGTCGTGCCTTGATCAGTCATCAGTTTTCTCTCGAAAGGTATGAATCACTTCTGAGGAAAAGCCATTCCTCTGTGGTTTAGCATGATTTTCCTTCTGTTCCTAATGCAATAGTTTTTTTTTCAGTCATGTGGTGGTTTACATATTTAAAGTCCCATTTGTTGAAGTTTGCAATCAATAAATTTGACATACTAATTTTAAGTTTAAATTGGAGCCAGTCTGTGCAGATTGATGCATGAATGCAGTTCCAGCTGTTGATGCTTGGGTTTCTGATCGTTTGTACTGCATTCATAAGCAATACTGCACTACCTTACTGTACTACAGCTGTACTAAGCACAGAGGAAATGAACAACTTGTTTACATTGCGATGATGTGATGTACAATGCATGCCATCAAAGCATTGCACATACCAAAATACACAATTAAGAATTGCTATCTAAATGCATTGAGGTATATTTTATGTGCTTGTGGTCTTGCAAGCCTCACTCTTTAGAGTGTGACACAGGGACTGAATGCAGGTTTGACTTTGGGATCAGTGTTGTGTGAACTGAATGTAGCAGCAGTAAAAGTGTGTCATTGACATGAGATGCATGCGATTCAACCTCCCTGTTACATACCCCCCCCCCATAATGTGAAAGCTAGCCAGACTTGGCACAGGGCAAATCTACTTTACATTTGTGTACACAAGTTCAGTTACTATTTTATCAAATCTCTGATGTTTATTTGCTTTGATTAGAGGCTGAGGTTGTTGTTTTTTTCTTTTTTTTCTCCATTGGCTCTATTCTGAGCTCTTGCACAGTGTCAGTGATGTTGAGTTACATTTTTTTTTTCTTTTAGGAGGGCAGTGCAATTGTTAATTGTGATTCATATTTATTGTTTTGTTGTTGTTGTTTTATTAAAGTGATCCAATATGGAAGAAAATACAAGTAATTAAATATCAGCTCACACAAATACACATGTACAAAATGTATCTGTTTCCAGAACCCACATCCCAATACTCTAACAGTTTTATTCATGTTTGTAAGATTTCGTCTTGTTTTGTCGTGTAATTTAGTCAGGTTTCTGATAGAGCCAGCATACTGTTTCCTTCATGAATTCATCCATATTCTTCATTAGATATATTTTCAACAGTATCTTTAACACAACTGGCAAACTGTGAATTGTACAGTCCTCTTTTATTTAGTTTATCAGTGCTTTTTGATGCATCTTCTGTCCTTTGTGTCATTCATTCAGTTTGATTAGTACATTTGTACAGGATGTTCAATCAGTCAGAATGATCTGCTTCAGATGAAAGGCTTCCGGGAGGAAGGGGTTTGTTGTTCTGTTCTTGCTGTTTAATGCTAAAATCTTTGGCAATAATTACTTTACTTTGCCATGTTAGTGACTTACTGATCTAATGTGGCGTTTCATAGATTATGGACTTTTTCCGGTTCTTTTTTCTGCATTGGCGCTCTGTGAACGATTGCTTATGATGTACACCATTCTATGAATTACTTTGCTCCGCTCAGATCCAAAATACACTCACAACACAAAGACTGAACAAGTTTAATTAAAGAATAAATCAATATTTTGTGCTTAACTACTGTGATCTTGTCATTTTGTATAGGTATAGCCAGTGATATTCTGAGCAGTGCTCTTCAGGTTTTGTAAAACAGCAGGGCGGTTCCATTCCAAAGGCTGTGAACACTGTTATATCATGCAACAATCATTACAGGAAATAAATCATTAGGATTATTTATTGTTCTCTTGTCTTGCAAAGTCTGTTAAATAATTTTAATGTGATTTGTTTCACCCCTATAGTTGGACTGCAATGATATATTTTGGCTGATGCTAATATGAATGGGTGCCAGGATAATAAGCCCCCCCCCCCCCCCCCCCCCCGTAAAAAAACCCTGTAAAGCTAAAACTGTCACAGAATCAGCCAACACCACAGCACCAGATCCCATCACTCAGCACACACAATCTCAATAGACAGAGTTCTAATCACACGCACCTGCAATCATTATATGGACCATATAAGCCAACACTTCACAAGCACTCACTGTCTGGTCCCGTCAATGTTACTGTAACGACTGGACAGGGCAGACACACAATTATTTGTTATATTTAACAAATAATCTTTAAAACCTACTCTGAGAGTTCCATGGACTATCCCCCAAAAGTGCAACTATCACTCCAAGAGGGCTGTTATTCTTGACCAGCCAATCCAGTTTCATATGCAAAACACCATGCTAGAGACAAAGGATCGTAAAATTTCCCTCCAAAGGTACCATTCCTCATTGGCTCACTCAAATCCTGAGGGTGTGACATTGTCATATGCAAAACACTTGAACCGGAAGCGTCGTAGACCTGTCAACCCGCTCAGCAGACACGCTTCGTCGAGGGGGAACAGGAATGGAATCGACTGCTACACCGGCCTCAAAACCAGGGTATAAAATAGCCTATTACGTATTGATTTTGATGTTTTTTAATGTAAAAACCACGCAAATGTCATAACTGGACCTCAGACAACAGTATGAATTTTTTTAATTTTTTTTTATAATTATTAACAAGCCCAAAATACACCGGGACTTTTATTTTGAAATGGCTATGCTATTGCAGGCTGATCCTTCAGATGAGAGATCAAATTTCTGTCTGTTTTTCTGTCTGTCTGTCTTTCTGTCAGTCTGTCTGTTTTTAATGTAAAAACCACGCAAATGTCATAACTGGACCTCAGACAACAGTATGAATTTTTTTTATTTTTTTTTATAATTATTAACAAGCCCAAAATACACCGGGACTTTTATTTTGAAATGGCTATGCTATTGCAGGCTGATCCTTCAGATGAGAGATCAAATTTCTGTCTGTTTTTCTGTCTGTCTGTCTTTCTGTCAGTCTGTCTGTCTCTCAGTCTGTTTTTCTGTCTGTCTTTCTGTCAGTCTTTCTGTCTGTCAATCTGTCTGTCTTTCTGTCAGTCTGTCTGTCTTTCTGTCTGTCTGTCTTTGTCTGTCTGTCTGTCTGTCTGTCTGTCTGTCTGTCTGTCTGTCTGTCTGTCTGTCTGTCTGTCTGTCTGTCTGTCTGTCTGTCTGTCTGTCTGTCTGTCTGTCTGTCTGTCTGTCTGTCTGTCTGTCTGTCTGTCTGTCTGTCTGTCTGTCTGTCTGTCTGTCTGTCTTTCTGTCAGTCTGTCTGTCTCTCAGTCTGTTTTTCTGTCTGTCTTTCTGTCAGTCTTTCTGTCTGTCAATCTGTCTGTCTTTCTGTCAGTCTGTCTGTCTTTCTGTCAGTCTTTCTTTCTGTCAGTCTGTCTGTCTGTCTGTCAGTCTGTCTGTCTGTCTGTCTTTTTTATCAGTCTCTGTCTGTCTTGTCTGTCTGTCTTTCTGTCAGTCAGTCTGTCTGTCTTTCTGTCAGTCTGTCTGTCTGTCTGTCTGTCTGTCTGTCTGTCAGTGAGTGAGT